AAGCTCCGCCTCCCAAGTTCATACCAATCTCCTGCCTCAGCCTCCTGAGTAGCTGGGACTACAGGCGCCCGCCACCATGCCCAGCTAATTTTTTGTATTTTTTTAGTAGAGATGGGGTTTCACCGTGCTAGCCAGGATGGTCTTGATCTCCTGACCTCGTGATCTGCCTGCCTTGGCCTCCCAAAGTGCTGGGATTACAGGCGTGAGCCACTGCGCCCGGCTAGATTAGTCACTTCTTTGCACAGAAATTACACTGGTATATAGGGTGATTTTTTAAAAGTTAGTTGTAAAATATACATAACAATAAATTTACCATCATAATCATTTTTAGGCATAAGGTTCAGTAGTGTTAAGTACATTCACACTGTTGTGCAGCCAATCTCTCTGTTCTCCCAGCCCCTGACAACTACTAGTCTACTTTCTGTCCCTATGAATTTGACTACTCTAGGTGCCTCATATAAGTAGAATCATACAGTATTTGTTCTTTTTTGTGGCTGGCTCATTTCACTGAGCAGAATATCCTCAAGGTTGATCCATGTTGTAGCATGAGTCAGAATTTCCTTTTTTAAAAAACTGGTTTTAAATAAGACTATTTTTTGGAGCAGTTTTAAGTTTACAGCAAAATTGAGTAGATGATACAGATAATTCCCCTATACTTCTCTCCCTTACACTCGTACAGCTCCCCCACTATCAACATCCTGCACCAGAGTGGTACATTTGGTTCCAATTGTTGAGCCCACATTGACACATTGTTATTACCCAAAGTCCATAGTTTACATTAGGGTTCCTTCATGGTATTTTACGTTCTATGTATTTGAACAAATGTATAACTCATATCCACCATTATTGTATCATATAGAGTGGTTTCACTGCCCTGAAAATCCTCTGTGCTCTGCCTGTTCATCCCTCCCTTCCCCCTAATCCTTGGTAACCTCTAATCTTTTTACCATCCCCATAGTTTTGCTTTTCCAGAAGGCTATGTGATTGGAATCATAAGTGTATAGCCTTTTCATATTGGCTTTTTTCACTTAGCAATATGCATTTAAGCTTCTTCTACATTTTCTCATAGCTTGAAAGCTCATTTCTTTTTAGTGCTGAATGATATTCTGTTGTCTGGATGTACCACAGTTTATCCACTCACCTATAGAAGGACATTTTGGTGCTTCCAAGTTTGGGCAATTATGAATAAAATTATAAACATCCATGTGCAGGTTTTTATGTGGATGTAAGTTTTCAACTCCTTTGGGTAAATACAAAGGAGTATAATTGCTGGATTGTATGGTAAGAGTATGTTTACTTTTATAACAGACTGCCACACTGTCTTCCAAAGTGGCTGTACTATGTTGCATTCCCACCAGCAATGAATGAGAGTTCCTGTTGCTCCACATCCTCAACAGCGTTTGGTGGTGTCAATCTTTTGAGTTTTCGATATTTAAATAGATGCGTAGTGATACCTTATTGTTTTAATTTGTAATTCTTCCATGACATATGATGTTGAGCATCTTTTCATATGCTTATTTACCATCTATATATCTTCTTTGGTGAGATCTCTTCAGGTGTTTTGCCCTTTTTTAAATCGGGTTCATTTTCTTATTGTTGAGTTTTAAGAATTCCTTATTTTGGATAACAGTCCTTCTGATTCATCTTTTACAAACATTTCCTCCCTGTCTATGTCCTGTCTTCTGATTCTTTTGGCAGTGTCTTTCACAGGGCAGAAGTTTCTTGTTTTAATGGAGTCCAGCTTATCGATTTTTGCTTTTATGGATTGTGCCTTTGGCATTGTATCTTAAAAGTCATTGCCATACCCAAGGTCAACTAGATTTTCTCCTATGTTATCTTATAGGACTTTTATGGTTTTGCATTTTACATTTAGGTTTATGATCCATTTTGTATTAGTTCTTGTGAAGGGTGTAAGGTCTGTGTCTAGATTTCATTTTTTTTTTTTTTTTTTTTTTTTTTTGGTGTGTGATTGTTCACTTGTTCCAGCACCATTCATTGAAAAGACTAATTTTGCCAAACTAATGTATTGCCTTTGCTCCTTTCTCAGAGATCAACTGGCTGTATTTATGTGGGTCTATTTCTGGACTCTCCCTTCTGTTACATTGGTCTATTTCTCTGTTGTTTCACCAATACCAGACTGTCTTGATTACTGTAGGTTTATGGTAAGTCTTAAAGTTGTGTAGTATCCGTCTTCTCATTTTGTTCTTTCAATATTTTTTTTGGCTGTTCTGGGTCTCTTGTCTCTCCATGTAAACTTTAGTGTCAGTTTGTTGATATCCACAAAATAACTTGCTGGGATTTTGACTGGGACAATGTTGAATCTAGAGAGCAGGTTGGAAGAACTGACATCTTGACAGTATTGTGTCTTTCTATCCATGAACATGGAATATCTCTATTTAGTTTTTATTTGATTACTTTCATCAGAGTTTTGTATTTGTTTTCATATACATCTTGTACATATTTTGTTAGATTTATACCTTAGTATTTCACTTTTTGGTGGTACAAATGTAAATGGTATTGTGTTTTTAATTTAATTTTAGATTCCACTTATTCATTTCTAGTATATAGGAAAACAATTAACCTTGTCCCTGCAACCTTGCTGTAATTACTTACTAGTTCCAGGAGTTTTTTTTTATTGATTATTTTGGATTTTCTACATCAACAATCATGTCATCTATGAAGAAAGACAGTTCTATTTCTTCCTTCCCAATCAGGGTACCCTTTATTTCTTTTTTAAAAATCTTATTGCATTGGTTAGGACTTCCAGTACAATGTTAAAAAGAAGTGGTGAGAGGCGATTTCCTTGTCTTCTTCCTGACCTTTTTTTTTTAGACAGAGCCCCGCCGTTGCTGTGTCACCCAGGCTGGAGTGTAGTGGCATAATCTCAGCTCACCGCAACCTCTACCTCCTAGGTTCAAGCAATTCTACTGCCTTAGCCTCCTGAGTAGCTAGGATTACAGATGTGTACCACCACGCCTGGCTAATTTTTTTTTTTTTTTTTTGAGACGGAGTCTTGCTCTGTCGCCCGGGCTGGAGTGCAGTGGCCGGATCTCAGCTCACTGCAAGCTCCGCCTCCCGGGTTTACGCCATTCTCCTGCCTCAGCCTCCCGAGTAGCGGGGACTACAGGCGCCCGCCACCTCGCCCGGCTAGTTTTTTTGTGTGTGTGTGTTTTTAGTAGAGACGGGGTTTCACTGTGTTAGCCAGGATGGTCTCGATCTCCTGATCTCGTGATCCGCCCGTCTCGGCCTCCCAAAGTGCTGGGATTACAGGCTTGAGCCACCGCGCCCGGCCAAATTTTTATATTTTTAGTACAGACAGGGTTTTTCCACGTTGGCCAGGCTGGTCCTGAACTCCTTACTTCAGGTGATCCACCTCCCTTGGCCTCCCAAAGTGCTGGGATTACAGGTTTGAGCCACCTCACCCAGCCTTCTTCGTAATCTTAATGGGAAAGCTTCTAGTTTTTCACAATTAAGTATGATGTTAATAGTAGGTTTTTTGTAGCTGTTCTTTATCAGGTTGAGGAAATTCCCCTCTTTCTAATTAGCATTTTCTTCCTTTTTAAGACTGAGTAATAGGTGGTACGTGTATACAACTTTTTTTTTTAACCATGCATTCATCAGTGGTCACTTGGGTTGCTTCCATGTTTTGGCTGTTGTGAATAAAGCTGCTATGAACATGGGTGTATAGATGTCTATTCAAGATCCTACTTTCAGTGTCTTCTGGGTATATATATCCAGAAGTGGAATAGCTGGATCATGTGGTAGTTCTATTTTTGGTTTTTTTTGAGGAACTAATATGTAAAATTTTATATACAAGGACAAATTTTATACTGCATTGATGTTTATTTTATAACAGCAAAAACTTGGAAGCATATTTGATCAGCAGGTGACTGGTTATATAAATTATGACACATGGATATAATAAAGTATTATGCAGCTCTTTGAAAAAGATATGGTAGATCTGTATGTTTTGACATGCAACAATGTCCAGATATATTGTAATATGAAAAAGACAATATGTATAATATGAACCTGTTTTTATTTTAAATCTATGTATGTATGCTCCGAATTTATTTTTCAAAAATAATGAACTTCTGGGATGGGGAGGAGTGGAGATTATAAATGTGATAGAAGAGCCAACTTTTAACTTTACTGCTTTATTAATTACTGTATCATTTTGGGGTTTAAAGGAAGCACAGTTTTTTGTTTTTTTTGAGGGGGAGGGGGTTTGTTTGTTTGTTTGTTTGTTTTTGAGACCGAGTCTTGCTCTGTCGCCCAGTCTAGAGTAAATGGCACAACCTTGGCTCACTGCAACCTCTACTTCCCAGGTTCAAGCACTTCTCCTGCCTCAGCCTCCCAAGTAGCTGGGATTACAGGCGCCCGCCACCACGTCCGGCTAATTTTTTTTTTTTTTAATAGAGACAGGGTTTTGCCATGTTGGCCAGGCTGGTCTCGAACTCCTGACCTCAGGTGATCCACCTGCCTGGGCCTCTCAAAGTGCTGGGACTATAGGCACGTGCTGCCATGCCCTCAAGAAGCAGTTTTATAAGCAGAAAGACCAATTTGAATTTTTGGGAAAAAAGTTGACTCTCACTTGTCTTTGACATACAGAGAAAATGTTAAGTATTTCACTTATTTACTAAGTGTTTTTATGTCCACAAGGTCAAATGCTAGTCACTGAGGTATCTTGAGTATCTTTTTATTGTTATATTTGAATGTCTTTTTATTATTAAGGGTATCTGTTGTTTTGTGATCTGAGGTATAAAATTAGTACAGCGAATTTCCATCAAAATGGTTTCACATAAGGAACACCACTCTGTCATTTTTATGTCACATTTGAGTGGTGCTTCCCATTTCCTATGACTTGGTATGGCATGGTAAGTAGCGAAATTGGAAGTTTGTCAAGTTTCCTCTGATCTTGAAGAAAATATCTCTTAGTTTAAGCATTATGTTATATTACACACTGAATCCTGTTCTTTTTCTTTTTTGTCTGACCGTAGAACTTCATGGAGGAACACGGAGTGACCCAAACTGAACATATGGCTACCATAGAAGCACATGCAGTGGCCCAGCAAGTGCAGCAGGTCCATGTGGCTACTTACACTGAGCACAGTATGCTGAGTGCTGATGAAGACTCGCCTTCTTCTCCTGAGGACACCTCTTATGATGACTCAGATATACTCAACTCCACAGCAGCTGATGAGGTGACAGCTCATCTGGCTGCTGCAGGTAATGTTGTTTGGATTAGAAGCTCTTCTGTAATTTTTATTCATTTATTTATTTATTTATTTTGGAGACAGTGTCTTGCTCTGTTGCCCAGGCTGGAGTGCAGCGGCACAATCACGATTCACTGCAGCCTTGATCTTCCGGGTTCAAGTGACCCTCCCATCGCAGTCAGCCTCCGGAGTCGCTGGGACTGCTGATGCGTACCACCACATCTGGCTCATTTTTGTATATTTTGTAGAGACAGAAATCTCACTGTGTTATGCAGACTGGCCTCAAACTTCTGGGCTCAAGCGATCCTTCTGCCTCGGCCTCCTAAATTACTGGGATTACAGGTGTGAGTTACCATGCCTGGCCTTTATCACAACTTTTTTAAGCCTTGCAGTTATAACTTGAGCCTGTATTGTACTGAGGCTTGAGGTCTAGAATCACTTACTATCAGTGTTGTGACTTTGGTTTTATTTTTTCATCTATTCTGCCTGTGTTTTGGCTTTAAACTGAAGCATTTATTCCAATTACATTAAACAGAATCACTGACACATATTTAGATTTAAATTTACCTTCTTTTCTATATGCTTTCTCTTTGCCCTACCTGTTCTGTTTACTTTTCTCTTGGCGTTTTCTTTTGTAGTGATTGAAAATTTTCTATTTTTTCATTTCTTTTCTTGTTAGTTTGAAAGTTATAAGCTTTTACTATTATCAATACCTGTAGAAATTATAGCATACATCCTTTATTTATCAATGTCTTATGTTGACTAGGCTCAGTGGCTCACACCTGTAATCCCAACACTTTGGGAGGCCAAGGTGGGAGGATCACTTTAGCCCAGGAGTTTGAGACCAGCCTGGGCAATGTAGTGCGATCTCATCTCTACCCAAAAAAAAAAAATTAGCTGGGTGTGGTGATGTGCTTCCTAGTCCCAACTACTTAGGAGGCTGTGGTGGGATGACTGATCACTTGAGCCCAGGTGTTTGAGGGTGCAGTGAGCTATGATTACACCACTGCACTACAGCCTGAGTAACAGAGTGAGAGCCTTGTGTCCAGTTGAAAAAAAAGGGAAAAGCAAAAAGTTGTATGTACTTGAAACTTTTAACCTCTCTACAGGGATAATACAAATTTCTTAGAACACTTGCATTTCATGCGCCCGTCCTATATGCTATTATTGTCCTTTGGTATACAGTTGGCTCTCTTTACTGTGGATTCCACATCTGTACATTCAACCAATTTTGAATCAAAAGTATTAGGAAAAAAAATTAAAAGTAACAATATAACAATTAAAAATAATACAAATAAAAGGCCAATACAATATAACAACTATTTATATAGTATTTACATTGTATTAGGTACTATAATATTAGCATTAGTAACCTAGAGATGATACAGAAGGAAGTGCATAGGTTATGTGCAAATGCTACACCATTTTATTTCAGGTACTTAAGCATCTGCACATCAAGGTGCTGGAACCAATTTCACGAGGGTTTGAAGGGACAACTGTATTTTAAACACCACAAGACAATTTTTTGTTTGTTTGTTTGTTTGAGATGGAGTCTCACTCTGTCACCCAGGCTGGAGGGCAGTGGCGCAATCTTGGCTCACTGCAACCTCTGCCTCCTGGGTTGGAGCAACTCTCCTGTCTCAGCCTCCTGAGTAGCTGGGATTACAGGTGTGTGCCACCATGCCCAGCTAATTTTTGTGTTTTTAGTAGAGATGGGGTTTCACCCTGTTGGCCAGGCGGGTCTTGAACTCCTGACCTCAGGTGATCCACCCACCTTGGCCTCCCAGAGTGCTGGGATTATAGGCGTGAGCCACTGCATCCAGCCAACAATATTTTTATTTAATAAATAATATTCATTTTTTTTTTCCTGTATCTCCAACTGGTCTCCTGAGATGGATTTTCTTCCGCCTAAAAATACCATTTAGTATTTATGTTAGCATGGATCTGCTAGTAGCAAGTTCTATTTTTGCTTGTCTATGAATGTTTTTATTTAAACTTCAACCTCGAAGGATGTTTTCACTGAGTATGGAATTCTAGCTTGGTGGTTATTCTTTCCTCATGTTGAAAGGTACTATTCCGCTGTCTTCTGGATTCCATTGTTGCTATTGAGAATTCAGCTATTTCATTCTAACTGCTAGTCTTTCAAAGATTATCTCCCACATAGCCTGCCCCCTCTCCCCACTCAACTGATTTTTCTCTTTAGTTTTTGTGATGTATTTGGCTCTGATTTCTATTTATTTATTCTGTTTAGGATTTTTTTGTACATCTTGACTATGTGGACCAATGTCATCAATTCTGGGACATTTTAGCCACTAGATTTTGCTTCTGCTGCATTCCATCTCTTTTCATTCCATGGCTCCAGTTACTTATGTTAGTCTTCCTCACTTGTATGTCTCTTACTGTCTGTTCTGTATGTATCATCTTTCTGTGTAGTTTCTTCTGTCTTTCAACTTGTGATTTTCTTCTTTAGCTATTGTATTAGTCCGTTTTCACGCTGCTTATAAGAGATACCCATGACTGGGAAGAAAGAGGTTTTAATGGACTTACAGTTCCACCTGGCTGGGGAGGCCTCACAATCATGGTGGAAGGCAAGGAAGAGCAAGTCATGTCTTGCATGGATGGCAGCAGGCAAAAAGAGAGAGAGCTTGTGCAGGGGAACTTCTCCTTTTAAAACCATCAGATCTTGTGAGACTTATTCACTATCACAAGAACAGCATGGGAAAGATCTGCCCCCATGATTCAATTACCTCCCACCAGGTCCTTCCCACAACATGTGGGAATTATGGGAGTACAATTCAAGATGAGATTTGAGTGGGGACATAGAGCCAAACCATATCATTCCGCCCTGGCCCCTCCTAAATTTCATGTCCTCACATTTCAAAACCAATCATGCCTTCCCAACAGTCCCCCAAAGTCTTAACTCATTTTAGCATTAACTTAAAAGTCCACAGTCCAAAGTCTCATCTGAGACAAGGCAAATCCCTTCTGCCTATGAGCCTGTAAAATCAAAAGCAAGTTAGTTACTTCCTAGATGGCAGTGGGGGTACAGGGACTGGACAAATACAGCCATTCCAAATGGGGGAAATTGGCCAGACAAAAGGGCTACAGGCCCCATGCAAGTCCAGAATCCAGCAGGGCAGTCAAATCTTTTATTTTTTTATTTTTTTATTTTTTTGAGGCGGAGTTTCGCTCTGTCGCCCAGGCTGGAGTGCAGTGGCCGGATCTCAGCTCACTGCAAGCTCCGCCTCCCGGGTTCACGCCATTCTCCTGCCTCAAGACTCCCGAGTAGCTGGGACTACAGGCGCCCGCCACCTCGCCCGGCTAGATTTTTGTATTTTTTAGTAGAGACGGGGTTTCATCAGGTTAGCCAGGATGGTCTTGATCTCCTGACCTCGTGATCCGCCCGTCTCGGCCTCCCAAAGTGCTGGGATTACAGGCTTGAGCCACCGCGCCCGGCCTGGCAGTCAAATCTTAAAGCTCCAAAATGATCTCCTTTGATTCCGTGTCTCACATCCAGGTCATGCTGATGCAAGAGGTGGGGTCCCATGGTCTTGGACAGCTCTGCCCCCTGTAGCTTTGCAGGATACAGCCTCCCTCTCAACTACTTTCATGGGCTGGTGTTGAGTGTGTGTGGCTTTTCCAGGCAAACAATGCAAGCTGTCGGTGGATCTACCGTTCTGGGGGCCGGAGGACAGTGGCCCTCTTCTCACAGCTCCACTAGGCAGCGCTCCAGAAGGGACTCTGTGTGGGGTCTCCAATCCAACCCCACATTTCCCTTCCACACTGCCCAAGCAGAGTTTCTCCATGAGGGCCCCACCCCTGCAGCAAACTTCTGCCCTGCATATCCAGGCATTTTCATATATCTCTGAAATCCAGGCATAGGTTCCTAAACTCCAGTCCTTGACTTCTGTACACTTGCAGGCTCAACACCTTTGTGGAAGCTGCCAAGACCTGGGGCTTGCATCCCCTGAAGCCATGGCCCGAGCTCTGTGTCGGCCCCTTTCAGCCACAGCTGAGCAGCTAGGATGCAAGACACCAAGCCCCTAGGCTGCACACAGCACAGGGACCCTGGGCCCAGCCCTTGAAACCTCCTAGGTATCCAGGCCTGTGATGGGAGGGGCTTCCATGAAGACCTCTGACATGATCTGGAGACATTTTTTCCATTGTCTTGGGGATTAACATTCATCTCCTTGTTACTTATGCAAATTTCTGCATCCAGCTTGAATTTCTCCTCAGAAAATGGGATTTTCTTTTCTATGGCATTGTCAGGCTGCAAATTTTCTGAACTTTCATGTTTTCCTTCCCTTATAAAACTGAATGCCTTTAACAGCACCCAAGTCACCTCTTGAATGCTTTGCTGCTTAGAAATTTCTTCTGCCAGATACCCTAAATCGTCTCTCTCAAGTTCAAAGTTCCACAAATCTCTAGGGCAGGGGCAAAATGCCACCAGTCTCTTTGCTGAAAATAACAAGAGTCACCTTTGTTCCAGTTCCCAACAAGTTTCTCATTTCCACCTGAGACCATATCAACCTGGACTTTATTGTCCATATCACTGTCAGCATTTTGGGTAAAGCCATTCAGCAAGTCTCTAGGAAGTTCCAAACTTTCCCACATTTTCCTGTCTTATACTGAGCCCTCCAAACTATTTGAACCCCTGCCTGTCCCAAAGTTGCTTCCACATTTTTAGGTATCTTTTCAGCAGCACCCCATTCCTGGCACCAATTTACTGTATTAGTCCATTTTCACACTGCTGATAAGGACATACTCCAGACTGTGACGAAAAAGAGGTTTCAGTGGACTCACAGATCTGTGTGGCTGGGGAGGCCTCACAATCATGGCGGAAGGCAAGGAGGAGCAAGTCATGTCTTACGTGGATAACAGCAGGCAAAGGGTGAGAGAGCTTGTGCAGGGGAATTCCTCTTTTTTAAACCCCCAGATCTCATGAGACTTACCATCACAAGAACAGCACTGGAAAGACCTGCCCTCCTGATTCAGTTACCTCCCACCAGGTTC